AGGCTCTGAGTGGGGAGGCTGCTACTTCCTCTGCCCCTCCCCCATTCATGCTCATGTGGGCACATTCTCCAGCTCTCTCTTAAATAAAATTTTTTAAAAATTAAAATCTTGCGGGGCAGCCCGGGTGGCTCAGCGGTTTAGCGCCACCTTCAGTCCAGGTCCTGATCCTGGAGACCAGGGATCGAGTCCCACGTCGGGCTCCCTGCATGGAGCCTGCTTCTCCCCCTGCCTGTATCTCTAATGAATAAATAAAATCTTTAAAAAAAAAAAAAAAAAAATTAAAATCTTGGGATCCCTGGGTGGCGCAGCGGTTTGGCGCCTGCCTTTGGCCCAGGGCGCGATCCTGGAGACCCGGGATCGAATCCCATGTCGGGCTCCCGGTGCATGGAGCCTGCTTCTCCCTCTGCCTGTGTCTCTGCCTCTCTCTCTCTGTGACTATCATAAAATAAAAATAAAATTTAAAAAAAAAAAAAAATTAAAATCTTAAATAGTATTCTGAAAATAGTGTAAAACCTCAGTTTTAAATGTAACATCTCAAATAAATAAATAAAACATCCTCAAAAAATAATGAAATAAAATGAAAGCTCCCACTGCATTGATGACCACTATGCACTGAAGGCCTAATGTAGCCACCCTCTGAAAAGCATGACAGCACTCAGCATCTGCACTTCCCTCCTCAGCTCTGAGCTCTGAGAAGTCTCCAGTCCATTTGACACCAGTGGCAGTCACCCTAATAGCATTCATTTTTCAAGGTGATCATTCTCAGATTGAGCCAGTGTCAGAAGAGTGAGAATGTAGCCACTCTCCAGTGGCCTGATGCATGTGGCCCAAACCCTCCTCAACCCCCTTCTCTGGGGACAGGTCCTGAGCTGCTAACCAAGGGAACGAGGATAGACAGATAAATGTAGAACACATCTGCACAGCAGGGGAGCCGGGATGCGTCCAGGGAGTCTCAGGGGACACGACCATCTATTGCTCAGCTGGCTAAGCCTACACCACTTATCTCCAATAGTGGGAAAGAGGAAGAATGATTCAATAAACCATGATGAGAAAATGGGCTGTTTTGGAAAAAATGGGGCCTCATACCAAATACAAAAGGAAATTCTAGCTGACTTTAGTATTAGAAAATGCTTATGGAGATTTAGATGATGCTGGAAACTGAGAAAGATATATTACAGAGGAAACAGGAAAAACCAAAAAGAAAAGCTCAATTTTTAGATATATATAAATTTAAAATCTCTGACCTAGGAGCACCTGGCTGGTTCAGTCCATAGATCATGCAACTCTTGGGAGTTGTGAGTCTAAGCCCCATACTGGGTGTGCAGATTACTTAATAATTTCTTAAATCTTTTTTTTTAAATTCTTATAAAAAGAATCTCTGATCAAAATTAACAGTCAAATGAGGGATCTTTGGGTGGCTCAGTGGTTTACAGCCAGCTTTCCAGCCAGGGCATGATCCTCAAGTCCCACGTCGGGCTCCCTGCATGGAGCCTGTTTCTCCCTCTGCCTGTGTCTCTGCCTCTCTCTCCCATTAATAAACAAATATAATCTTAAAAAAAAAAAGTCAAAGAAAATCTGAAAAAATATAAGCACAAATGCAAGCTATTTCAAAAATATAAATGCCTCGGGGCACCTGGGTAGCTCAGCCAGTTAGGTGTCTGCCTTTAGCTTAGGTCATGATCTCAGGGTCCTAAGATGGAGCCCCACATCAGGCTCCAAGCTCTGCAGGGTGTCCGCTGCTCTCCATTTGTGTTCTCTCATTCTCTTTCATGTAAACAGACTGTTAAATAGAGAAAGAGAAGAGAGCCTCATAGGAAAAAAATCTAATACACAATTCAAAGATACCAAAAAAAAAAAAAAAAGCTCCTTTTCTATAAATCAAATAAATTCAAAACCTTGATATTTTTAATCTTTGACTTTAGAAAAAAAAATCAGATACTTAAAATTGACAAAGAAATATGCACACAAATCGCTAGAGGGTCAGTTGGTCCAAAATAGTTTTGCCGTTCACCAGTTATTCCACTTCTGGAAATAGAGAAAAATATATGGACATGGATATGCATTACACCATAATTAGAAATAAACTAGGATCCTTGGGTGGCTCAGCGGTTTAGAGCCAGCTTTCCAGCCAGGGCATGATCCTCGAGTCCCGCGTCAGGCTTCCTGCATGGAGCCTGCTTCTCCCTCTGCCTGTGTCTCTGCCTCTCTCTGTGTCTCTCATGAATGAATAAATAAAATCTTAAAAAAAAAAATTAGAAATAAACTATATTCGGGATGCCTGGGTGGCTCAGTAGTTGAGCATCTGCCTTTGGCTCAGGGTGTGATCCTGGGGGTCCTGGGATCGAGTCCCACAACGGGCTCCCTGCAGAGAGCCTGCTTCTCCCTCTGCCTGTGTCTCTGCCTCTGTGTCTCTCATGAACATACAAAAATCTTTTTTTTAAAATGGATTAACAGAGTAGCCCGGGTGGCTCAGGGGTTTAGCGCCACCTTCGGCCCAGGGAGTGATCCCGGAGACTCAGGATGGAGTCCCACATCGGGTTCCCTGCATGGAGCCTGCTTCTCCCTCTGCCTGTCTCTGCCTCTCTGTTTCTCTCATGAATGAATAAATAAAATCTTTAAAAAAAAAAAAAAAAAAGGAGTACAATGCCAATGGAGACAGAGGCTTAAAGCAGTGAGCCAGGCTCAACCTTCCATCAGTATCACCTGGAGCACCGATTTAAGCCCACCTTCCAGTTTCCAATAACAGAATTGGTCTGGAATGGGTGCCAGAGAATGTGCATTTCTAACAAGCTCCCAGGTGGTGGCGATGAAGGTGTGAGAGCGATGCTTTGAGGAAAGCTGCCCTAAAGCATGCTAATAGGTTTTATGTGCACACCTCACCTCCATCGGCACCAACTTTTAAGAAAAGTCCGGCCTACAAGTACAAACCTATTGGGACGCCTGGGTGGCTCAGCGGTTGACCACCTGCCTTTGGCTCAGGGCCTGATCCCAGATTGGGGGATCGAGTCCCAATCGGGCTTCCTTCAGGGAGCCTGCTTCTCCCTCTGCCTGTGTCTCTGCCTCTCTCTGTGTGTCCCTCACGAATAAATAAAATTAAAAAAAAAAAAAAAGCTATGTTTAGAATAGCCTTCTCCATGCATTTAAGATCAAGTATCCCAAAAGGAGCAGCTCAGTACAGCAGCTGCAAACACAGGTTCAGGAGCCAGACTGCCTGGTTTGGGATCCTGTTCTACCGATACACAGCTCGGTGATCCCAGGCCACTTAACTTGCCTCTGCTTCAGTACCATCAGGGGCAAACAGGGATAAACGATCTTTCCCCACAGCAGGGAAACTGCATATGAGTGCCTACCAAAGTCATCAGTCAAAAGTCCTCACCTTCCCATTTTCATGCACATGTATTGTGAAAAATCTGTAAGTAGAAAATGCTTCCTTGGGGTGCCTAGGTGGCTCAATCAGTTAGGTGTCTGCCTTCAGCTGAGGTCATGATCCCAGGGTCCTGGGATGGAGCCCCACATCAGGCTCTCCGCTCAGCAAGGAGTCTGCTTCTCCCTCGCCCCCACCCCCCATGCTTGTGCGCTTTGCTTTCTCTCTGAAATGAAAAAAATAAAGTGCTTACAGAGTTTCTCGTCCTGCCAGAAGGAGACATTTGCCTACTTCATTATTATTTATGATAACCACACCCAAATTCCTTCTTCTACCCATATTCTTCTTTGAGAGGGGCCAAACGGCCAAGAGATGTCCCCACACTTACCAAATACACCACAATCAAAACAAGCCTAAGAGAGCAGTCATCCCCTCGGGATCTCGAAGGCTTTCTATAAAAAGTGTAAATATCAGAATGTAGGCACGATTAAAGCCTTGGAGTTAGTTTAGGGTCAAGAAACAAAAGATCTAATAATCAAACAAGTATAATTAAACCCCACAGGCTCCGGCCCACCTAGGAGTCCCAGGTACCACATGGAAAACCAGCTGCCAGCTCTATCTCCCAAGCCACTTTTCACCTGTTTGTTTTCTCCCAGCTCAGGGGCCCTCCAGTGATTGTAGGGCCCTAGGACTCCTGGACAAAACCACCTGCGTTAACAGCTTGGGTCACTGCTCTCTAAGGGGTAGACATCGGGGAAGCACCCCACAGGCTTCAAGGACCCCATCTCCAGGGCGGTCCTCCAAGGTGGAAATGGAAATAGCTGCGAAAGGGTCAGTGCAAAAACATACTCCACCGTCGTTATGTATGTCCCAGACCAAAGCAAAATGTGAGAGAAGTGTTCCCATTCATTAAATAGAAAACAAAGGACTTTTTAAGCACACGAAAGTCGCCCCGACTGGATACCAGAACACAAAGTGTGAGACGCACGCGGACGGTCATCAGGGAGACTCGGTCCCACACACACGGGAGCCGGGGAGCCCGGGGAGCCCGGTGTGGCCGCAGCTCGGGGTCACGGAAGGGCTATCGGAAGAGGTGGGGGCGCTGCGGGGGATGGCAATGGTCCAGGGTTGGCTCCGGTAAGGGAAGCTGTTCCCGAGCGGCTTGCTTAGGAAGACAAAGGTGCCGCTTTAGTTTCGAAGGGCGAATCCCTGAGCCGCGCCGGGGAAGCCGACTATAGGTGGAAGGGGGCTCCCATCAGGTCTCCCTGCCCGTGGGCAGCCGCTCTCCCCGGGCAGCTCGGTTCCCCGCTGCCCCCGCTGCCCCCGCTGCCCCCGCTGCCCGGGCTCCAGCTGCTGCTGCTGCTGCTCCTCCTCCTCCTCCTCCTCCCCCCCCACCAGGCTCCAGAGGCCGGCGCGGCCGCGAGCGTCTCGGCAGGGAGCCCCCGCCACCCGGCCCTGCTCCCGCCCACCCTGCGCGCCGGGAAGCAGACGCGGCCCCGCGGCCGACGCGGGGAGGCCCACGGGCGGCGAGAAGCCGCGCCCCCGGCGCCCGCGGCGAGCGCTTCCCCGCCACGACCCTCTGCCCTCCCGCCCCGGGAGCCGGCGGCGGCGGCGGCGGCGGCGGGAGGTCGCTCACCAGAACAGCAGGCGCGAGCAGAGGTTGGCGTCCTGCAGCGGGTTGGGCTTCACCTCCGGGTACACTGGCAGCATCTTGGCGCCGGGGTCGCCTGCTCGGGGATGCTGGAGCTCGGGCGGCGCGCCGGTCCTCGCGGCGGGAGCCCGGGAACCACCCGTTTCCGGGAGCTGAGCGCCGACGGGCCCGCCCCGTCCCCGTCCCCGCCCCCCGGGCCTCGCGGCGGCGGCGGCGGCGGGGGCCGGGAGCCGGGGGCCGGGAGCCGGGGCGGGGCCGGGGGCCGGGAGCGACGGCCTCGCGCGGGCCGGACCGGGCCGGACCGGCGGCCACCACTCTGCCCGCAGCCCGCGGAGGTCGGAGGCGAGTCGGCCGAGCTCGAGGCCCGCGGGCCGGGCGCGGAGGCGCACACGTGTTCTCACCTGGCTGCAGACTTTGCAGAAGTTGGCGCTGCGAGCCCCAGCCCGCAGCGGCGGTGCCGGGGGGAGGCGCCGGCTCGGCCCAACCGCCGGCTCGGAAACGCCCCCTCGGGGGCAGCTCTCAGAACACGTGGGAGGGCGGCCCGCGGCGTTAGCGCACCTCCTGGGCCGGCTGCCCTCATCAGGACCAGACCGGGGTCCAGACCGTGAGGTTCGCTGAGGCGCGAGCCAAACGCTTGACCTCGGACAGCAGCAGGAGTTGGCGCAGCTCTTTGTAGAGGTAACAGGGGACTGAAAGGACTCCTCTGATTTGGGAAGACGAATGCACGCGCTCCCTGGCCGCAGGCCTTTTGCATCTCCCAGGTTGCATTGCACAGAGCAGCTCTCGCCACCCTTTTGCCAGCCTCCGAGACTGGGAAGGGGAGCTATGGAAAGAGAGCCCGCCTCAGGAGCTCTTTCCTCGTGCCCTCACCTGAAGGCAGAATGAAAACGGCCGACAGAACATAAGTCACAGAGTACCGGTGATGTGCCCTGCCGGGGACCTTGCGCACCTCTAGCCCTAACGAGGCCCGAGTCCGGAAGATGTTATGATTCCTCTTTTCCAGATGAGAAAGATGAAGGCTGAATGACTGAACTTGCCCATTATCTTAGAGTCAGTAAATGATGAAACTTGATTTGAACTCAAGAGTCCAGCATGGTCTGTCCCCCACTGGTGATGGTCAGTGCACATGAAAGTGGCTGGTTGGATGAACCAATGATTGCAGGACTGAATAAACAAAATCTCAGGGATCCCTGGGTGGCGCAGCGGTTTGGCGCCTGCCTTTGGCCCAGGGCGCGATCCTAGAGACCCGGGATCAAATCCCACGTCGGGCTCCCGGTGCATGGAGCCTGCTTCTCCCTCTGCCTGTGTCTCTGCACCTCTCTCTCTCTCTCTCTCTCTCTCTGTGACTATCATGAATAAATAAAAATTAAAAAAAATAAAACTTCATTTAAAAAAAAAAATAAACAAAATCTCGGATTCCCACTCGAAGTCTTCAGTTGTTGGGTGGCCATCCTACCAGTGCTAAGCAAATTCTCTTCCCTTCAACACTGAATGAAGAAAAAAATACAAAGGACAGTTCATAGTACTTACAGCAAGATCACTTTTTTTTTTTCTTTTTAAAGATTTTATTTATTCGTGAGAGAGAGAGAGAGGCAGAGACACAGGCTGAGGGAGAAGCAGGCTCCCTGCGGAGAGCCAGATGCTGGACTGGATCCCAGGACCGGAGGTCATGCCCTGAGCCAAAGGCAGGTGCCCCAAGATCACGTGGTTTTTCTTTTCTTTTCTTTTCTTTTCTTTTCTTTTTCTTTTCTTTTCTTTTTTTTTTTTTTAGTTAAGTGAATACCCCCAAGGTGGAGCTCAAACGCACCACAAGAGATCAAGAGTTGCATGCTCAAAAAAAATAAAAAAAAAAAATAAAGAGTTGCATGCTCTACTGACAGCCAGCCAGGTGCCCCAAGATCATTTCCCATTTACCTTGGCCAAAATGGTGTTATTAATAATGGCTTTTTGGTTACCAAAGGGGAGGTAGGTGAGGGATGAGTGAAATTGGATGATGGGAATTAAGAGTCCACTTACCATGCTGCATACCGAGTAATGTATAGAATTGTTGAATCATTATATTGTCCACCTGAAACTAATACAACACCATGTGTTAATTACACTTGAATTAAAAAATGGCTTCTAATTTCAGTTGTGCAAGATGAATAAATGCTGGACTGGTATTCAGCAATGTGACTCATTGGCAGTACTATGTTATATACTTGAAATTTGCTGAGAGAGTAAATCTAGTGTTTTCTCAACTTAGGAAAATGGTTAAGATGTGAAGTAATAGATAATGTTGATTGGCTTGGTTGTAAATATTTCATAATGTAAGGGGCACCTGGATGGCTCAGTGGTTGAGCTTTTGCCTTCCGCTCAGGTCCTGATCCCGGGGTCCTGGGATAGAGTCCTGCATCCAGCTCCCAGCAGTCAGAAACCTGCTTCTCCCTCTGCCTATGTCTCTGCCTCTCTCTCTCTGTCTCTCATGAATAAGTTAATAAAATCTTTAAAAAATATATTTCATTGTGTAGATGTATAACAAGCCATCAGTTTGCACAACTTAAATATATACACTCTTTGATCTTCAGTTATACCTCGGTAAAGTGGTGAAAGGGGGGGTGAATTGCTTTTAAAGAAACCCTTACTATATTCAAATATTTTTTATAAGTCAAATGTGTAAGAATGGCAAAATATTGATAATTTTTAATTGATGGGTGATGGGGATTTAAAATACTCTTGATATTTCATGTATGTTTAAGAATTTCTATTTCAAAAAGGAAGACAATTATGTCTGAATATTCTAAGAAAACTATGATTATTCACTTCCTTTCTGTGTTAGCTCTTTCTTGGATAATGCAATCTATAAATCTAAATAATCAGCTTGCCCCTGATTACAGTTCTCTTTGAAACTCCCTGAATTTTCCAGCCCAGTAAATGCTCAGTTACCAGGTCTAAGTCTAAGGTGAAGACCTCAGGGCACCTGGATTAGTTAAGACTCAGACTATACAGGCCCTGATCTCAAGAGTTGTGAGATGGAGCCCCTAGGTGGGCTCTGCACTCCACGTGAGGCCAGGTTGAGATTGTCTCTCTTTCTGCCCTTCCCGCTCATGATCTTTCTCTCTCTAAAATAAATAAATCTTTAAAAAAAAATTTTTAATGAAGATTGTACTTGCTAAAGTTAGAAGTCTAATGGCTTCCTCCATCACCCTGCCCCAGACCCCTCTCTCCAGCCCCTGCAACTCTCAAGTTCCAAACTGCCAAAAACACGCAATCCCTTCAGCTTCTGTTGAGTCTTTTTTTTTAACAAAGATCTTTTGAAACCTTTTATCATTATTTCCTACATGAACAGGAGTATTTAGGAGATTTACTGAAAGCCAGTGTTGACTTCTAGAGAGAAGATTGGACTTGAAACCAGGGAACAAAGGATCTTGATTTTTCACTCATTACCTAAACTTCCTGACCCTTATTCTTCTCAGGTCTAAAACAGGAATCAAATTCCCCACTCTTCCTACAAAGTTATTGTGAGTCTCACAACTCTTAAGTATACTTCATAAAACATAAGGCAACAGACAAAAGGGTTTTCTTTGCTGGGGGGGCTAGATTTTTTAAAAAATTTATTTTTCAAAAGTTAACATGTGCATAAAGGTAAACTTAAAAACACAGGAAACAAAGAACAAAGTTACCCATAACACAGTTCACAGTTGAGTCCTAGGTCCCATATGTGTATCTACACAGTAAGCATTTTTTTTTACTTTTTTTTAAGATTTTATTAATTTTTTTGAGAAGGAGGGAAAGAGAGCAAGAACAGAGGGAGGGAGAAACAGACTACCCACTGAACCTGGAGCCCAACAGAGGGCTCTGAGAGCCATCCCAGGACTGGGATCATGACCTGAGCCAAAGGCAGACACTCAACCAACTGAGCCACCCAAGCACCCCTATACAAGTAAGCATTTTAATGTAATTTAGATCATACAGTTATGTGTCACACTTTTTTACGCACCATGAATATTTACCATTTCAAAGTCCTCAAACAATGAGTATTTTGATAACCAAGAATGCACTACACCAACTCCATCTGAAAGAAAAAAATGTAGTCCTGCCTTTCTTGGCAACAAAAATTTCATAAAAGACAAAAATGGCAAAGAGCCTCTAGATAAAGATATTGGCAGAGTTACAATTAAAATACTCGCATTTCCTGGGCAGTTCCGGTGGCCCAGGGGTTTAGTGCTGCCTTCAGCCCAGAGTGTGATCCTGGAGACCAGGGATCGAGTCCCACATCAGGCTCCCTGCATGGAGCCTGCTTCTCCCCCTGCCTGTGTCTCTGCCTCTCTCTCTCTCTCTCTCTCTGTGTGTGTGTGTGTGTCTGTCATGAATAAATAAATAAAATATTTAAAAAAAAAATACTCGCGTTCCCTTAATGTCCAATTAAAACTGAGACGTGGTCTCAGGTTTTTTTGCTTTTTTTTTTTTTTTTTTTTAAGATTTTATTTATGGGAGGCCTGGGTGGCTCAATGATTGTGGTTGAGCATCTGCTTTCTGCTCCGGTCATGATCCTGGGGTCCTGGGATGGAGTCCCACATCGGGCTCCCTCGAGGAGCCTACTTCTCCCTCTGCCTCTGACTCTGCCTCTTTCTGTGTCTCTCATAAATGGATAAATAAAATCTTAAAAAAAAAAAGGAAGAAAAAGAAAGAAAGAAAGAAAGAAAGAAAGAAAGAAAGAAAGAAAGAAAGAAAGAAAGAAAGAAAGAAAGAAAAAGAAAGAAAGAAAGAAAGAAAGAGAAAGAAACACTCATATTGCTGGTGGGGGATGCAAAATGGTACAACTGTAAAATTACATTACCCAGGAATTCTATTCCTCATACCGTTGGTTTGGAACCATCCCAAGAGCTTCTCTGGTGTGATCTGAAACTGGCCCCAGTGCTTAATGGACAAGGAGACACCCAAGAAAGAGGCAGATCATTCCAGTTGGAAGGCACCAGTGTTAGTAGCAAAGATAACTTAGATACAAGGCTCCTCTTGGGCAGCAGCAAGACAAATGGTTCCCCACACCCACGAATAAAAACTAAGTTCAGTCGCAGAAACATGCAGTTTCTCCCAACACTGCATCATTATCTCAAGGCTATCCTTGGAGTAGCCTCTGTGAGTGGGAA